AAAAAAAAAAAAAAAAAAAAAAAAAAAAAAAAAAAAAAAAAAAAAAAAAAAAAAAAAAAAAAAAAAAAAAAGTACTTGACATCCCATCATCATCATCATCATCATCATCATCATCATCATCATCATCATCATCATCATCATCATCATCATCATCATCATCATCATCATCATCATCATCATCATCATCATCATCAATCATCATCATCATCATCATCATCATCATCATCATCATCATCATCATCATCATCATCATCATCATCATCATCATCATCATCATCATCATCATCATCATCATCATCATCATCATCATCATCATCATCATCATCATCATCATCATCATCACATCATCATCATCATCATCATCATCATCATCATCATCATCATCATCATCATCATCATCAGCATCATCATCATCATCATCATCATCATCATCATCATCAATCATCATCATCATCATCATCATCATCACATCTCATCATCATCATCATCATCATCATCATCATCATCATCATCATCATCATCATCATCATCATCATCATCATCATCATCATCATCATCATCATCATCATCATCATCATCATCATCATCATCATCAATCATCATCATCATCATCATCATCATCATCATCATCATCATCATCATCATCATCATCATCATCATCATCATCATCATCATCATCATCATCATCATCATCATCATCATCATCATCATCATCATCATCATCATCATCATCATCATCATCATCATCATCATCATCATCATCATCATCATCATCATCATCATCATCATCATCATCATCATCATCATCATCATCATCATCATCATCATCATCATCATCATTCATCATCATCATCATCATCATCATCATCATCATCATCATCATCATCATCATCATCATCATCATCATCATCATCATCTCATCATCATCATCATCATCATCATCATCATCATCATCATCATCATCATCATCATCATCATCATCATCATCATCATCATCATCATCATCATCATCATCATCATCATCATCATCATCATCATCATCATCATCATCATCATCATCATCATCATCATCATCATCATCATCATCACATCATCATCATCATCATCATCATCATCATCATCATCATCATCATCATCATCATCATCATCATCATCATCATCATCATCATCATCATCATCATCATCATCATCATCATCATCATCATCATCCATCATCATCATCATCATCATCATCATCATCATCATCATCATCATCATCATCATCATCATCATCATCATCATCATCATCATCATCATCATCATCATCATCATCATCATCATCATCATCATCATCATCATCATCATCATCATCATCATCATCATCATCATCATCATCATCATCATCATCATCATCATCATCATCATCATCATCATCATCATCATCATCATCATCATCATCATCATCATCATCATCATCATCATCATCATCATCATCATCATCATCATCATCATCATCATCATCATCATCATCATCATCATCATCATCATCATCATCATCATCATCATCATCATCATCATCATCATCATCATCATCATCATCATCATCATCATCATCATCATCATCATCATCATCATCATCATCATCATCATCATCATCATCATCATACATCATCATCATCATCATCATCATCATCATCATCATCATCATCATCATCATCATCATCATCATCATCATCATCATCATCATCATCATCATCATCATCATCATCATCATCATCATCATCATCATCATCATCATCATCATCATCATCATCATCATCATCATCATCATCATCATCATCATCATCATCATCATCATATCATCATCATCATCATCATCATCATCATCATCATCATCATCATCATCATCATCATCATCATCATCATCATCATCATCATCATCATCATCATCATCATCATCATCATCATCATCATCATCATCATCATCATCATCATCATCATCATCATCATCATCATCATCATCATCATCATCATCATCATCATCATCATCATCATCATCATCATCATCAATCATCATCATCATCATCATCATCATCATCATCATCATCATCATCATCATCATCATCATCATCATCATCATCATCATCTCATCATCATCATCATCATCATCATCATCATCATCATCATCATCATCATCATCATCATCATCATCATCATCATCATCATCATCATCATCATCATCATCATCATCATCATCATCATCATCATCATCATCATCATCATCATCATCATCATCATCATCATCATCATCATCATCATCATCATCATCATCATCATCATCATCATCATCATCATCATCATCATCATCATCATCATCATCATCATCATCATCATCATCATCATCATCATCATCATCATCATCATCATCATCATCATCATCATCATCATCATCATCATCATCATCATCATCATCATCATCATCATCATCATCATCATCATCATCATCATCATCATCATCATCAATCATCATCATCATCATCATCATCATCATCATCATCATCATCATCATCATCATCATCATCATCATCATCATCATCATCATCATCATCATCATCATCATCATCATCATCATCATCATCATCATCATCATCATCATCATCATCATCATCATCATCATCATCATCATCATCATCATCATCATCATCATCATCATCATCATCATCATCATCATCATCATCATCATCATCATCATCATCATCATCATCATCATCATCATCATCATCATCATCATCATCATCATCATCATCATCATCATCATCATCATCATCATCATCATCATCATCATCATCATCATCATCATCATCATCATCATCATCATCATCATCATCATCATCATCATCATCATCATCATCATCATCATCATCATCATCATCATCATCATCATCATCATCATCATCATCATCATCATCATCATCATCATCATCATCATCATCATCATCATCATCATCATCATCATCATCATCATCATCATCATCATCATCATCATCATCATCATCATCATCATCATCATCATCATCATCATCATCATCATCATCATCATCATCATCATCATCATCATCATCATCATCATCATCATCATCATCATCATCATCATCATCATCATCATCATCATCATCATCATCATCATCATCATCATCATCATCATCATCATCATCATCATCATCATCATCATCATCATCATCATCATCATCATCATCATCATCATCATCATCATCATCATCATCATCATCATCATCATCATCATCATCATCATCATCATCATCATCATCATCATCATCATCATCATCATCATCATCATCATCATCATCATCATCATCATCATCATCATCATCATCATCATCATCATCATCATCATCATCATCATCATCATCATCATCATCATCATCATCATCATCATCATCATCATCATCATCATCATCATCATCATCATCATCATCATCATCATCATCATCATCATCATCATCATCATCATCATCATCATCATCATCATCATCATCATCATCATCATCATCATCATCATCATCATCATCATCATCATCATCATCATCATCATCATCATCATCATCATCATCATCATCATCATCATCATCATCATCATCATCATCATCATCATCATCATCATCATCATCATCATCATCATCATCATCATCATCATCATCATCATCATCATCATCATCATCATCATCATCATCATCATCATCATCATCATCATCATCATCATCATCATCATCATCATCATCATCATCATCATCATCATCATCATCATCATCATCATCATCATCATCATCATCATCATCATCATCATCATCATCATCATCATCATCATCATCATCATCATCATCATCATCATCATCATCATCATCATCATCATCATCATCATCATCATCATCATCATCATCATCATCATCATCATCATCATCATCATCATCATCATCATCATCATCATCATCATCATCATCATCATCATCATCATCATCATCATCATCATCATCATCATCATCATCATCATCATCATCATCATCATCATCATCATCATCATCATCATCATCATCATCATCATCATCATCATCATCATCATCATCATCATCATCATCATCATCATCATCATCATCATCATCATCATCATCATCATCATCATCATCATCATCATCATCATCATCATCATCATCATCATCATCATCATCATCATCATCATCATCATCATCATCATCATCATCATCATCATCATCATCATCATCATCATCATCATCATCATCATCATCATCATCATCATCATCATCATCATCATCATCATCATCATCATCATCATCATCATCATCATCATCATCATCATCATCATCATCATCATCATCATCATCATCATCATCATCATCATCATCATCATCATCATCATCATCATCATCATCATCATCATCATCATCATCATCATCATCATCATCATCATCATCATCATCATCATCATCATCATCATCATCATCATCATCATCATCATCATCATCATCATCATCATCATCATCATCATCATCATCATCATCATCATCATCATCATCATCATCATCATCATCATCATCATCATCATCATCATCATCATCATCATCATCATCATCATCATCATCATCATCATCATCATCATCATCATCATCATCATCATCATCATCATCATCATCATCATCATCATCATCATCATCATCATCATCATCATCATCATCATCATCATCATCATCATCATCATCATCATCATCATCATCATCATCATCATCATCATCATCATCATCATCATCATCATCATCATCATCATCATCATCATCATCATCATCATCATCATCATCATCATCATCATCATCATCATCATCATCATCATCATCATCATCATCATCATCATCATCATCATCATCATCATCATCATCATCATCATCATCATCATCATCATCATCATCATCATCATCATCATCATCATCATCATCATCATCATCATCATCATCATCATCATCATCATCATCATCATCATCATCATCATCATCATCATCATCATCATCATCATCATCATCATCATCATCATCATCATCATCATCATCATCATCATCATCATCATCATCATCATCATCATCATCATCATCATCATCATCATCATCATCATCATCATCATCATCATCATCATCATCATCATCATCATCATCATCATCATCATCATCATCATCATCATCATCATCATCATCATCATCATCATCATCATCATCATCATCATCATCATCATCATCATCATCATCATCATCATCATCATCATCATCATCATCATCATCATCATCATCATCATCATCATCATCATCATCATCATCATCATCATCATCATCATCATCATCATCATCATCATCATCATCATCATCATCATCATCATCATCATCATCATCATCATCATCATCATCATCATCATCATCATCATCATCATCATCATCATCATCATCATCATCATCATCATCATCATCATCATCATCATCATCATCATCATCATCATCATCATCATCATCATCATCATCATCATCATCATCATCATCATCATCATCATCATCATCATCATCATCATCATCATCATCATCATCATCATCATCATCATCATCATCATCATCATCATCATCATCATCATCATCATCATCATCATCATCATCATCATCATCATCATCATCATCATCATCATCATCATCATCATCATCATCATCATCATCATCATCATCATCATCATCATCATCATCATCATCATCATCATCATCATCATCATCATCATCATCATCATCATCATCATCATCATCATCATCATCATCATCATCATCATCATCATCATCATCATCATCATCATCATCATCATCATCATCATCATCATCATCATCATCATCATCATCATCATCATCATCATCATCATCATCATCATCATCATCATCATCATCATCATCATCATCATCATCATCATCATCATCATCATCATCATCATCATCATCATCATCATCATCATCATCATCATCATCATCATCATCATCATCATCATCATCATCATCATCATCATCATCATCATCATCATCATCATCATCATCATCATCATCATCATCATCATCATCATCATCATCATCATCATCATCATCATCATCATCATCATCATCATCATCATCATCATCATCATCATCATCATCATCATCATCATCATCATCATCATCATCATCATCATCATCATCATCATCATCATCATCATCATCATCATCATCATCATCATCATCATCATCATCATCATCATCATCATCATCATCATCATCATCATCATCATCATCATCATCATCATCATCATCATCATCATCATCATCATCATCATCATCATCATCATCATCATCATCATCATCATCATCATCATCATCATCATCATCATCATCATCATCATCATCATCATCATCATCATCATCATCATCATCATCATCATCATCATCATCATCATCATCATCATCATCATCATCATCATCATCATCATCATCATCATCATCATCATCATCATCATCATCATCATCATCATCATCATCATCATCATCATCATCATCATCATCATCATCATCATCATCATCATCATCATCATCATCATCATCATCATCATCATCATCATCATCATCATCATCATCATCATCATCATCATCATCATCATCATCATCATCATCATCATCATCATCATCATCATCATCATCATCATCATCATCATCATCATCATCATCATCATCATCATCATCATCATCATCATCATCATCATCATCATCATCATCATCATCATCATCATCATCATCATCATCATCATCATCATCATCATCATCATCATCATCATCATCATCATCATCATCATCATCATCATCATCATCATCATCATCATCATCATCATCATCATCATCATCATCATCATCATCATCATCATCATCATCATCATCATCATCATCATCATCATCATCATCATCATCATCATCATCATCATCATCATCATCATCATCATCATCATCATCATCATCATCATCATCATCATCATCATCATCATCATCATCATCATCATCATCATCATCATCATCATCATCATCATCATCATCATCATCATCATCATCATCATCATCATCATCATCATCATCATCATCATCATCATCATCATCATCATCATCATCATCATCATCATCATCATCATCATCATCATCATCATCATCATCATCATCATCATCATCATCATCATCATCATCATCATCATCATCATCATCATCATCATCATCATCATCATCATCATCATCATCATCATCATCATCATCATCATCATCATCATCATCATCATCATCATCATCATCATCATCATCATCATCATCATCATCATCATCATCATCATCATCATCATCATCATCATCATCATCATCATCATCATCATCATCATCATCATCATCATCATCATCATCATCATCATCATCATCATCATCATCATCATCATCATCATCATCATCATCATCATCATCATCATCATCATCATCATCATCATCATCATCATCATCATCATCATCATCATCATCATCATCATCATCATCATCATCATCATCATCATCATCATCATCATCATCATCATCATCTCATCATCATCATCATCATCATCATCATCATCATCATCATCATCATCATCATCATCATCATCATCATCATCATCATCATCATCATCATCATCATCATCATCATCATCATCATCATCATCATCATCATCATCATCATCATCATCATCATCATCATCATCATCATCATCATCATCATCATCATCATCATCATCATCATCATCATCATCATCATCATCATCATCATCATCATCATCATCATCATCATCATCATCATCATCATCATCATCATCATCATCATCATCATCATCATCATCATCATCATCATCATCATCATCATCATCATCATCATCATCATCATCATCATCATCATCATCATCATCATCATCATCATCATCATCATCATCATCATCATCATCATCATCATCATCATCATCATCATCATCATCATCATCATCATCATCATCATCATCATCATCATCATCATCATCATCATCATCATCATCATCATCATCATCATCATCATCATCATCATCATCATCATCATCATCATCATCATCATCATCATCATCATCATCATCATCATCATCATCATCATCATCATCATCATCATCATCATCATCATCATCATCATCATCATCATCATCATCATCATCATCATCATCATCATCATCATCATCATCATCATCATCATCATCATCATCATCATCATCATCATCATCATCATCATCATCATCATCATCATCATCATCATCATCATCATCATCATCATCATCATCATCATCATCATCATCATCATCATCATCATCATCATCATCATCATCATCATCATCATCATCATCATCATCATCATCATCATCATCATCATCATCATCATCATCATCATCATCATCATCATCATCATCATCATCATCATCATCATCATCATCATCATCATCATCATCATCATCATCATCATCATACATCATCATCATCATCATCATCATCATCATCATCATCATCATCATCATCATCATCATCATCATCATCATCATCATCATCATCATCATCATCATCATCATCATCATCATCATCATCATCATCATCATCATCATCATCATCATCATCATCATCATCATCATCATCATCATCATCATCATCATCATCATCATCATCATCATCATCATCATCATCATCATCATCATCATCATCATCATCATCATCATCATCATCATCATCATCATCATCATCATCATCATCATCATCATCATCATCATCATCATCATCATCATCATCATCATCATCATCATCATCATCATCATCATCATCATCATCATCATCATCATCATCATCATCATCATCATCATCATCATCATCATCATCATCATCATCATCATCATCATCATCATCATCATCATCATCATCATCATCATCATCATCATCATCATCATCATCATCATCATCATCATCATCATCATCATCATCATCATCATCATCATCATCATCATCATCATCATCATCATCATCATCATCATCATCATCATCATCATCATCATCATCATCATCATCATCATCATCATCATCATCATCATCATCATCATCATCATCATCATCATCATCATCATCATCATCATCATCATCATCATCATCATCATCATCATCATCATCATCATCATCATCATCATCATCATCATCATCATCATCATCATCATCATCATCATCATCATCATCATCATCATCATCATCATCATCATCATCATCATCATCATCATCATCATCATCATCATCATCATCATCATCATCATCATCATCATCATCATCATCATCATCATCATCATCATCATCATCATCATCATCATCATCATCATCATCATCATCATCATCATCATCATCATCATCATCATCATCATCATCATCATCATCATCATCATCATCATCATCATCATCATCATCATCATCATCATCATCATCATCATCATCATCATCATCATCATCATCATCATCATCATCATCATCATCATCATCATCATCATCATCATCATCATCATCATCATCATCATCATCATCATCATCATCATCATCATCATCATCATCATCATCATCATCATCATCATCATCATCATCATCATCATCATCATCATCATCATCATCATCATCATCATCATCATCATCATCATCATCATCATCATCATCATCATCATCATCATCATCATCATCATCATCATCATCATCATCATCATCATCATCATCATCATCATCATCATCATCATCATCATCATCATCATCATCATCATCATCATCATCATCATCATCATCATCATCATCATCATCATCATCATCATCATCATCATCATCATCATCATCATCATCATCATCATCATCATCATCATCATCATCATCATCATCATCATCATCATCATCATCATCATCATCATCATCATCATCATCATCATCATCATCATCATCATCATCATCATCATCATCATCATCATCATCATCATCATCATCATCATCATCATCATCATCATCATCATCATCATCATCATCATCATCATCATCATCATCATCATCATCATCATCATCATCATCATCATCATCATCATCATCATCATCATCATCATCATCATCATCATCATCATCATCATCATCATCATCATCATCATCATCATCATCATCATCATCATCATCATCATCATCATCATCATCATCATCATCATCATCATCATCATCATCATCATCATCATCATCATCATCATCATCATCATCATCATCATCATCATCATCATCATCATCATCATCATCATCATCATCATCATCATCATCATCATCATCATCATCATCATCATCATCATCATCATCATCATCATCATCATCATCATCATCATCATCATCATCATCATCATCATCATCATCATCATCATCATCATCATCATCATCATCATCATCATCATCATCATCATCATCATCATCATCATCATCATCATCATCATCATCATCATCATCATCATCATCATCATCATCATCATCATCATCATCATCATCATCATCATCATCATCATCATCATCATCATCATCATCATCATCATCATCATCATCATCATCATCATCATCATCATCATCATCATCATCATCATCATCATCATCATCATCATCATCATCATCATCATCATCATCATCATCATCATCATCATCATCATCATCATCATCATCATCATCATCATCATCATCATCATCATCATCATCATCATCATCATCATCATCATCATCATCATCATCATCATCATCATCATCATCATCATCATCATCATCATCATCATCATCATCATCATCATCATCATCATCATCATCATCATCATCATCATCATCATCATCATCATCATCATCATCATCATCATCATCATCATCATCATCATCATCATCATCATCATCATCATCATCATCATCATCATCATCATCATCATCATCATCATCATCATCATCATCATCATCATCATCATCATCATCATCATCATCATCATCATCATCATCATCATCATCATCATCATCATCATCATCATCATCATCATCATCATCATCATCATCATCATCATCATCATCATCATCATCATCATCATCATCATCATCATCATCATCATCATCATCATCATCATCATCATCATCATCATCATCATCATCATCATCATCATCATCATCATCATCATCATCATCATCATCATCATCATCATCATCATCATCATCATCATCATCATCATCATCATCATCATCATCATCATCATCATCATCATCATCATCATCATCATCATCATCATCATCATCATCATCATCATCATCATCATCATCATCATCATCATCATCATCATCATCATCATCATCATCATCATCATCATCATCATCATCATCATCATCATCATCATCATCATCATCATCATCATCATCATCATCATCATCATCATCATCATCATCATCATCATCATCATCATCATCATCATCATCATCATCATCATCATCATCATCATCATCATCATCATCATCATCATCATCATCATCATCATCATCATCATCTCATCATCATCATCATCATCATCATCATCATCATCATCATCATCATCATCATCATCATCATCATCATCATCATCATCATCATCATCATCATCATCATCATCATCATCATCATCATCATCATCATCATCATCATCATCATCATCATCATCGTCATCATCATCATCATCATCATCATCATCATCATCATCATCATCATCATCATCATCATCATCATCATCATCATCATCATCATCATCATCATCATCATCATCATCATCATCATCATCATCATCATCATCATCATCATCATCATCATCATCATCATCATCATCATCATCATCATCATCATCATCATCATCATCATCATCATCATCATCATCATCATCATCATCATCATCATCATCATCATCATCATCATCATCATCATCATCATCATCATCATCATCATCATCATCATCATCATCATCATCATCATCATCATCATCATCATCATCATCATCATCATCATCATCATCATCATCATCATCATCATCATCATCATCATCATCATCATCATCATCATCATCATCATCATCATCATCATCATCATCATCATCATCATCATCATCATCATCATCATCATCATCATCATCATCATCATCATCATCATCATCATCATCATCATCATCATCATCATCATCATCATCATCATCATCATCATCATCATCATCATCATCATCATCATCATCATCATCATCATCATCATCATCATCATCATCATCATCATCATCATCATCATCATCATCATCATCATCATCATCATCATCATCATCATCATCATCATCATCATCATCATCATCATCATCATCATCATCATCATCATCATCATCATCATCATCATCATCATCATCATCATCATCATCATCATCATCATCATCATCATCATCATCATCATCATCATCATCATCATCATCATCATCATCATCATCATCATCATCATCATCATCATCATCATCATCATCAT